CAAAATACTAATATCTACTGGGCTCTTCTGTCCACCGCCAATTGGAAAGACATCTCTCAATGCCAGAGATTTGTGAAAAGGAAACAAAATGTTTATTTAATGCTATTCAGGCCTAACGCCTCCACTAAAATATCAAAGTCCTTTAGGGTATACTCCTACACCCACACAGCTCCCTTCTCTCACTGTCCCAACTCTGGGTACCGTAAATCAGGAAAAGAGCACACGTCTGTGTTGCAGGCCGCTATTGATATGGGAAACTTTGAAAAACCTCTATTTAACCTTTATTTGCCCAGGCCCCAGGCGCCCTAGGGAGAATGATGGGGATGTCTAGGATAACTAAACAACAGTGCATTAGCTAGGACTGAGATTAACACCCTGCTGTTAAAAACTGACCTTCGATTTTAGCCTTTGTCCTCTGCTTCTGCCCCATAGCTAGAACTAACTTCCGCATTCCGCTTCTGTATCCCGCTTTGCTACATAGACAAGAAGACCCTGTAAACTATAAAAACCCCAAGAATCCTTTGTTCGGGGCTCAGAATTTGGACACTGACTCCTATGGGCCCGTGCACGTTAAATAAACCTCGTACTCCAGAAACCCTCAGTGTCTGGTCGCTTCATTTTCCTGCAACACTATGACCATTGTACCTGTGGCAGCGTGCTGGAAATATTTTCTGTTTTTATTTAGAAGTGATTTTTATCATTTCTGTTAAGTGTTTAACTTTTTTTGACTGTTACATGTTCTTCATGTTCTTCAAATGTTAGTTTATATTTCAGTGTATTTGGTTTAACTTTTAAATAAAAAAGAATGTAGGTACATTCATGATTTCTTGTTAATTATAATGAAATTTCAATGTCTTGGCTGACTTTTCAAGGAAGAAAAAATTATTACAAAAAAGAGAGAAGTAATAATTTACTTCTCTCTAAGTATTAAGAAGGCCATTGGCTGCAACCACACACTTACTCAGGGCCAGGTGTTCAGACTGGAAGACAGTGTTTTCTGTGCGGTGAATGTGGGGAGTATTTTACCACTAGAATTGCCTTATATTATTGTCAGAGTTTACACTGTGTAAAGGATTTAAGTGTGTGGTAAACATGAAAAATCATTCAGCTATAAATCTGTGCCCCTTGATGTGGGGGCCACTTCTCCACGAGCCCCCTGGGTGCCACGGATGAAAATGAATATGGCCGAGACATGATGTGATCTGTTTGGAGAGGAGAAGTGAGCTATGGCCAATTCCTTAGGGGAGACAAAGGCCAGCAGCGGCCAGTTTTTCCGAGGAGAAAGAGGCCTCGAGCCCCCACCTCCAGGGCTTTTTATTGAGTTGTAAAACACAGGAATACAGGGCGGCAAGGATCAAATAGTAGATAACATTTCAAAGAAATCTGAGGGCTTACTATGAGTCAGAGTCTGTGAGGAACAGAGTTTAGGGTTTCTGGCTCAAACCCTTAACATATTAATGCAAGCACTCTTAGCAGAGCAGATTTCACAGGTTTATCAGAAAGTCTTTGTGATGCCAGATTATTCCCCAAGGACACACTCTAGCAAGGCAAGGAGCTGCACCTCTCCCCACAGGTATTCAGGCTTAAGGGGTTAGAGCCAGGAAGCAGTTCTCCCAGAGAACATGGGGACTCGGGCTATGTCAAAGCCAGGGGGCAAGAGTCTATTGCTCTTTGTTGCAGCCCCCCCCCCCCCAGTCCTTCCTTGAAGGCCTTCCAAGTGATTGAGTCTGGCTTAGGTTGCCCCCCTGTACTGTGAGGGGTCTTACCCGTCATTGACTTCCGACCAAGCTTAAGGGGCAGGGAGAGGAAACTGAGGCAGCGTTTACTACCAGAGACAAGTTCTGTCTCCTGTGGCTCACATTCCAGAGGTTGTCCCTCGCCCTTAGCCACAAGGGGTAGAGATACAATTTCTAAAACCAGGCAGAGCAGTCTACAACACCTTGACATGGGAGAGTTCACGTTGTGTGAATGCTTAGATTTTAGGAAATGTGTTACTGTCTTGTTCAGTGTAATCACACTAAAATAAACTCTGAGGAGCCATCTGTCTGATTTGAACTTATGTCCCCGGCAGTTTCTATGGCTCAAGGCATTTTACCTCTACCACTCGGTAAGTCTTCAGAGTATGTACCAGCCACTACCCTGGTGTGCTTGGGGGAGGTGACCTCTGTCCTCCCATGTAGGGAGGACAGAAGTCTGACTTCTGTCGTTCCTCAGCAATACACTTTGTAAGATCAATGTTGCAGAGGCAGGAGCACAAAGGTGTAAAAGTGCAGATCTGCAGTCTGGGATTGTTGCTCTTGTGACTCAGTCAGTATTTCTGTTGACCTGGGTTGTAATGTCCTTCATTGCTTATCAGTATTGGCTTCTGCTGAGGCAAGACTGACTCCCTGCAGGCAGGAGGAGATTGATAGTGGGTTGAAAATAATGTTGTGAAGCATATTTTGTTTTTTAAATATTTTATTTACTGATATGAGGGAGAGAGAAAGGGAGAGGAAAGAGAGAGAAACATCAATTTGAGTTTTGTGGTTCCACTTATTTATATATTCATCAGTTGACTCTTGTACATGTCCTGAGTGGGATCAAACCTACAACCCTGATGTATCAGGAGGATACTCAAACCTTGAGCTCTCTGGCTCCGCCATATTTTCTTAAAAGAGAGAAACATAGAGATTTAGTTAAATGCAGAACCATTTTCACAGCTTTATTACAGTGTAATTCATATTGAATTAAACTGCTCATACATACAGTATACCATTTGATAAATTTTTTAAAGATTTTATTTATTTACTTTTAGAGAGAAGGGAAGAGAGGGAGAAAGAGAGAGAGAGAAACATTGAAATGAGACAGATCGATCAGTTGTCTCTTGCATGTAACTTGACTGAAGACCGAATCTACAACCCAGGCATGTGCTTTGACTGTGAATCAAACCCACAATGTTTCACTTTGCAGGGGATGCCCAACCTACTGAGCCACACCAGTCAGGGCGCATTTGATAAGTTTTGATGGAGAATTGAACCTATGAAACCATGATCATAGTCATAATAATAACTATATCTGTTACTGTATGTTTACCTATTTTTATGATTTCTTTTGCTGCCCTTCCCTTCTTGCAGATAACCGTTGACTTATATTCTCTTGAAATTGATACCTTGCATTTCATTAAATTTGATGTTTGCAATTATGAAATGTATGTGTTAATACTTTTTAAAGATTTCTCAATGTTGCTATATGAGTAGATCACCTTTTTTTAAGTAATGTTACCTTTGTATATACAAATATTAGTTTGTCACTTCCTTTTTTATGCACATGTGTTATTTCTAGCTATGTTCTTTTTCTTTTCTCAATAAATTAGAATGCAGTGTCTGACTCACAGGGCAGGTTAATATTTAAGTTTTAAAATGACTCACATATTGTCATTTAATCTGTTTTGTTTTGCATTTTTATCAAGAGTGTATGAGGGTTTCAAATTCACACTGTTTATTTAATATCTAATGTTAGCAGGGCCAGTGATTAACCCTGCTAATAATTGCTAAAGGTGTATAAGATAAGCAGTAATTAACCCTGCTAACAATTGCTGAAGGTGTATAAAGATAATTGCTAAAGGTGTATGAAGGTTTCAAATTCACACTGTTTATCTAATATCTAATGTTAGAAGGGCCAGTAATTAACCCTGCTAATAATTGCTAAAGGTGTATAATTTTTGTATTATTAATAAGTCTCTTTATATTTTCTTTTTTGAAATTTAGAAGAAATGCTATTACAAAAGGAAGGAAAGAAATGTCTATATTTTTGAAGGAAGTTAAAAGAAAGTAGTTCTTCTTAATAAGTTGGTTACTTCTGAGTTAAAAAGAGACAAGCTGTGGTTGGTGTGAATTGAGTGCCAGCCTGAGAAACAAAACATTGCCAGTCTGATTCCCAGTCAAGGCACATGCCTGCATTGCAGGCCAGGTCCCCCAGTGAGAGGAGCGCAAGAGGCAACCACGCATTGCTGTTTTTCTCCCTCCTCCATCTCTAAAAATAAATAAATTAAATATTTTGAAAATTAAAAAAATAAAATTACAATAATAATAAAAAGAAATCCTTACCATCCTTTTGTCCACATTGTTATTGTTATCTTGTTAATTGTTGACTGTAACTATCCAGTTCGTAAACTCACAAAAATTCTTAAGGATTGGAAGTTTCTTATCTTAATATAAGATCTAATAAATCATGCAACATGCCATCTAGCAACTTGAAAGGTGCTAAGAATTGCACAAAATAGAGTGATTTTATAGGCAGTAACAGGAGCAGGAAGGGGGATTAGGAGGTTAAAAGAGTGGAATATTTTAGGCAAAGTCACCTTTTCTTAAGGGAAGGTACGGGTCTTATTTGGCAGGATATTTTTGAGCCAGGACACCTTTTCTTTAGGGGGAGAAGACCTGGAAAAATTTTTTTATCATTGAAATTGCCTCTTTCTGTGGGGGATGGAGAGGGTTCTTGAGACACATTCATTACCTTACTGCTTGGCCAGAAAATTTCAAACTGGATGATTAAGATCATGTTTCTGGGAAGGACTGAAACTGCAATTAGCAGGTATTATGCAGTTAATCAGCATCACCAATGCTATTTCGGGCCTGTGGTTTTCTGTTTAAAGATAGCCTGTTGCTCTGAAGCACAGGTAACACATGGACTTACAACTGGCATTGAAGTCGCGGGGAGGTGGGGGGCGAGGTAGTCTTGTGGGCCTGGGCCTTGAACCTATCTTCAGGTAGATAGTGTCAGAATTGAGTTTTTGGTGCAATTAACAAGTAAAGACCTTCCCTCCTGGTAGCAGCCGCGCTTTCCAGGATCTTTCCAGTGCAAACATCCTAATTGCTAAGGTTAGCCAACATCCCGCCCCTTGGCCCTTACATCGCTGAGAACTACATTACCCAGAAGAACGTGCTGTGAGTTGAGCCAATGATAGGTCAGAATAAAAGCATTTCCGTGAGATTCAACCACCTGGCGCCGGGCTTCCGGAACAGTCTTAGTGGCGGTTGTTACTGCAGCTTTGGAGTCCCTGGGCTGTTTTTGAATTGTTAAAGCGGAGAAGTGGGAAGGAGTGGTAGTCGCCGCACGGATACGGATGTGAGGCTCCCTAACAAGCCCGGGGTGTCCCGCTCTGTCGGGACGACAGCGGTGCCTGGCGCCCCCTCCTCTCCCGCTGCTTCCGTCCCGCTTCGCGCACAGAGTCCGATGGCGGCGGCCGCACGGAGGCGCCGGGCTAAGGTGAGTGCGCGTCCCTTGCGCCCTCCGGCCTCATCCCGCGGAGCCCTGCAACCTGGGTGCGGGCTCCCCTCACGTCCTGCAGCCCGGGCCCCGTGGACCACATTTAGGTGGCGGAATGCAAGCCCTCCTGCCGGTGCTACTATTCGGTCAGAAAGAGCAGGATGCGGGATGAGGAGTTTTTTTCTTTGTTCTGCCCCATGAGGGCGCTGCGCACAGAAATACAAGTGAAGGAGGGAGGTGGTCACGGTAACGGTGTGGCAGGTGAGGAAAGCTTTGATGGGACAAGTGGACTAGTGGACGTGATGGTTCTGGAGGCAGAGAAGTAACCGAGGTGAGGTGACACTGAGGGCAAAGCTGCTGCTTGTTCGGTAGGGCAGGATCCACCCCATGTGTGTGCTGGGCTGTGATGGGGTCTGGTGTCTCAGTCTTGCTGGTGGCTAATGTGGTCATTTTTGAGTGTCACTTGGCCTGCCATGGAGACATATCCATGGAGACCATAGAGAGTTTCTCCCGTAACGTAAATGGTGCCGTGAATCGGATCAAAACTGGGGTTTTAAGGAAGGGAAACTGAAAAAGCCAGTGTAAGCAAAAGAGACGGTCAAACCCGTGTAGAAATGTTGGTGAGTTTGCAACAAACTAATGGCAATGTAACATACCCCAATGCGAGCAACAAATGTCGGAAGCCTTCAGGAGTTTAAGATGGAACTTTATTGGCCAAAGTTTCAAAGTTTTACCTGCGCAGGGGCGAACTCTCGGGGTGTCTGGAGACACGGTGCCAAAATGGCTGCAGATGAGAGTCGCGCCTGGCGCTTACAGCCTAGGGTTTTTATTGGGGTGAGCAAGCAAGCAAGCAAATACAGAAGCAGACGTAGCTGTTAGCAGTTGGCTATCTTGAGAGAACACACATGGCTATGTTCTCTGCTTGCAACAATGGATACTTTTCTGCAAAGACAAGGTCATGCACAAGGCGGTTTATCTTGTTTAGCACTCTTTGTACTTTCTGTACTTTCTATCTTCCTTGCTGAGACAGTCTGGAGCCTGCCTCGGGTTCCTCTTGGCTACTTTTATCTAATTCCGGCCCTAACAGCAATCTGGGAAGCAAAAATCTCCATGGATTAAGAAATGCCCTGAAGAGTAGCAGTTTAGTACCTTATTTAATACATTAGACTCAAAGGAGGAGATCTGAGGGTTGAAATCCACTGGTATTAGGTTAAGGAGGAAGGAGAAAGCAAAGCTGGAGGGAAACCCCTAGGATTGGAAGAAAGGTAAAATGACAGACACTTCTTTTACATCCTTGGATACAGGATAGTTAACAGTCAGCAATTAAAAAGGTAACGAGTGGGTTGCCAACCAAAGGGCCAGTTCCATTCCCAGTCAGGGTACATGCCTGGGTTGTGGGCCAGGTCCCCAATACGGGGGGTGTGAGAGGCAACCACACATTGATATTTCCCACCCTCTCTTTCTCTCTAAAAATGAATAAATAAAATCTTTTTTTTTTAACATTTTATTTATTTATCTCTAGAGGGGAAAGGAAATGAAGGGAAGGGAAGAAGAGGAGAGAAACATCAATGTATGGTTGCCTCTTGTGCGTCCCTTGCAGGGAACTGGCCTGCAACCCAGGCATGTGCCCTGACTGGGAATCGAACCATGGTTGTTTGGTTCACAGGCCCGCGCTCAATCCACTGAGCTACAGCAGCCAGGGCTAAATAAAATCTTTTTAAAAAAAGATAACAAGAACAATGAGGGGAATTGTGGTCTGCGTTTGTGCCCAAGCAGTTTGGGGAAAAGGAAGTTACCTTGACATTCCAGAGGTCTGCTATGAATGCAAAAGACAATAGTTAAGGTAAAGGTCAGTTGACCTTTGTTAGGGAAAAATCCTGGCCTAGAACATGGCTACCCTCCATGAACTGCTTAGTTAATAAATTTTAATTTCACACCATCCTTTGTGGTTACTTTAGGTCTCTGAGTTTGTAAGGCTACCTCACAGGCCTCCCCCCCCCAAAGCTTGTCAGGTTAATCTGTGGCCCCTTTTCTTCCACTCCTGTGCTTACGCTGCCTGTCACCACCAGACCCACTAAGTAGAGACAGAGATTGAGTCTTTTTGATGTTTTATTCAGATGGCTGACTAACTGAAAAGAGAGAGGGTTATGTACACTAAAAGACCATCTTACATTTTCGCTCAAGCCAGCCTTTTGATTAGGAAGGGGAAAAATGTAAGTAAGGGATTTGGAATTCAGAGAGGAAAAGTATAGGTAAGGAATTTAGAATTCAGAAAAGAGGTTATCAGATAAAAGCTGCAGCCCCGCCCGCCATTTCCCTAGCCTCCTCTTGTTGTTGACCGGTGATTCTTTATCTATATCCTGGGCAGTGGGATGACTCTCTGTGGAACACAATGGCTCAGATAAACTCTCCATTGTGCAGTCCTGGTGTTACAAAACTGTAAGCTAGCAGACTGTGGCCTGTCCATGTAGCGCCTTGGTGAAGGACGCACCAATTAATGCTGGAAGGAGTAGATTTTTATTTACAACATTTCAACCTTGGGGGAGCTCAGAGACCCTTAGCTTGGAGCCCTCCTTTCACAAAAGACCCAGCACTTCCCATGCTCCCCACCAGGGTACCAGCCAAAAGCCCTCGAAGTTTCCCATGTTCTTATTTTAAGCCCTATGCACAGTTTTTCATTGTCTTTGCATTAAGGTCGCCATTCTTAGGCAGCAGCTCTTTGCTTCAGGATGTGGAATATGTGTCTGTTAGCCTCCATGTAATAATCCAGGAAAGCGTGTGCTGTGTTTTTCTGGATCATGGCAGAACTCAGGAAAGGCAAATCTTAATAGTCAAGGGGAAAATCCAAGTGTTGCTTGTGGTCTGTTGGAGTCAGGGCGGATCATACCTTCAGTTCCTGAAGTTCCCCCATTGGAAGGTTGTGTGGAGAGAGGACATGGTGTCTGCTGAGGGTGAAACCAGAGGTCAGCTGAGTCCGGGTAGTGCTGCCTTTCACTGTGCAGCCAAAAAAGGAGAGACAGGGATTGGATTATAATTGTGCTTTTTTTTTTTAAACATTATTGAAATTTTTTTGCCATTTAAAAAAATTTTAATTGTCGTTCACGTACAGTTTTCTGCCTTTTACTCCCTATAACTGTGCTTTTATTAATATCAGAGTGAGACAGGATAGTGAAAAGCTACCCAGGAAAATTCCTGGGAGAGTGGAATGGGGAAAGAGAAGAAAATTGAACAAGGTGAAGCTGAGCAACTCGCAGCCAGCTGGTGAAATGTAAGACCTTATCGCTCCTTCACAGGGACAATTGAGTGTAAATAAATGGTTCATACCCTCCGTCCATAACCGGAGAATACCTAACCTCCCTGGCTATAAACCACAGGCCCCAGGGGAAGAGAGGAAGAGGAGTTCTGATGCAAACAGAGGGATAACAGCAGAAAAGGCACCCAGTTTGGGAAATAGCTGCTGACTACCCTTTCCGTTCCTGCTTCCTTACTCCTGGAGATTCCCCCTCCCAAATTCTTACGGTTCCCCTGTGTAAGCTCACCTCTGAAAGGAAGGTGAGTATTAGGTTTTTCACCAGCCACCTTTATCAGACCGCTGTCCTCTGTCATTAATAAAAAGCACAGTTATAATTCAATCCCTGTCTGCTTTTTAGCTGAGCGGTGACAGGCAGCCGGAGCCTTGGGCTCGATTGCCCTCTGGTTTCAAGAGGCAGGCAGTCTGACAAGGTGGCCAGTAAAAGCCTTAACATCACTTTCCCTTGAGCTTTCAGAAGCAAGTTTGCAAAGGGAATTTGGGAGGGGGAAGTACTTGGGGGGAACTTGGAAATGCTCTTTCCCTTGGGAGTAAGGGGAGGGAGAGCCGATCAGGGAGTCATGCAGCTTCTTCCCAAGCTGGCTCCCTTTGTTCCCCCGTTTTCTCTCCACTTACGTTCCCTTTCCTCTGTTCCCCAGACACCTGTGTTTTATGGTTGGTGCCAGTGTATCTCACAACTATAATGAGAAGTGTCAAAAAAAAAAGTTCTGGTGCACTTTGTGGAATCTTAATAAAAGTATTTATTACTCACTCCTGAAACATGATGTCAGCCTCCTCATTCCTGGTCAGTTGCTTTAGGATTGCCCTGGGTTGGATGTGCCTTTGTTCTTGTTTAGTGGACCAGTAACTGTAACGATGTCTCAGCCAGAACATAAGGTTAAATATAAACTTGATTAATTGGTTACATAGTCTGTTAGTAGTTCTTTAAGACTCTAATGCTGAGAAAATTGAGCTGGCCCTAAAAAGGATTTTATCTCTATTTCCCAGACCAGGAAGATTTATTCTCTGTTTAGGGAGGAACCATGTATTCTCTGGTTAGGGAGGAGAAGTAGAAACCATTTGCTCTCAAGCCTCCTTGGTTAGGGGACAAAAGGTCTTGGCGATTTGCCACCTGGCTGCAAGGTGATCAAATTGTTTGGCTTTGTTTAACTTTCTTGTCTGAGATTCCCCATTCCACTCGCCCAGGAATTGTCCTAGCTTTTCACTATCTTGTCACAAGGGTCCAGCAAGTACAGAACAGAGTGGAAAGGGGTCACGTTCTCCTGCAATTCATATGGGTTTCTGGGAGGCAAATACTGAGGCCAAAGCCAGATGTATAGAGGAGGCCTTCACAGCAGTGTCTCCACAAATGTGTACCTGTGGGAGCTCAGGTGGGGACTGGAGGTGTCAGAGGGACAATCTACAGAATGATGTGCTTATTGGGAAAAGGTGTGAATTATGGTCCAAGGACCCCAGTGTTGGACACTGAAGGGTGAAGCGTGAACCCACACCTGGGGCTGTGTCTTGTCACAATCTAGAGACCCCCAAAGGGAATTAACAACAGGGTGGATGGGACCCTGCAAGCCAGGACCAGAACTGGATTACATCTCTGTGCCTTCCTGCCTGATGAGGCTGAGGGCCGAACATAGTGAATAAAAAGGGACCTGAGGGTAGGACAGGCATCAGTGGAATTCCTCTGAGGTGTGCAGCTTTGGAGGAGGGTGGGTGTGGGATAGATGTGTGGGGAGGTGGGTTGGGGGCTCTCACACACAAAATGTTAGGGTTTTTTTTTTTTTCCCTCTCTGCATGATAACAGGCCAGCGTGACCTTTGAGGATGTTGCTGTGCACTTCTCCTGGGAGGAATGGAGGCTGCTTGATGAGGCTCAGAGACTCCTGTACCTCCGTGTGATGCTGGAGAACTTTTCACTTATTTCCTCTCTGGGTAAGACCCACAGCCTCACCAGTGACTTGGACTAGACTCTACTCCATCCACCCCAAGACCTTTCTCAGTGCTCAGGTGTGGGCCACAGGCACTGCTTGCTGCCCCAGTTTTCCGGGCAATTGCTGTATTGCTAGGGCTGGTGTGTTTGCACTGCCCTCATCCCTCCCTGCAGTCCCAGTCCTGAACCCTTTTAGGGAAAGACTCAAGGTCAGTACTATTGCATTGAGCTTGGTGGATTCATAGTGCTTGCCCTCTCAGTGTCTGGGTTAATGTGTCCAGATGCACAACACTTATGTATCCCTGGGTTTGACTTTTTTTAATTGTCATTTCTTGCTGTCTACCTGGACCAGGAGTTGCATGTGTTGTCATGGCCATTACTTAATCGAAGTATGGCTTCTTTTTAACACTGTCCATTGCAGTGTGTTGTGTTTAAATATCCCTCCCCTCCCTTCCCTTCTCTTCCTTTCCCTTCCCTCCCTCCTCCCTTCCCTTCCCTTCCTTCCATTCCTTCCTCCCCTTCCTTCCTCCCCTTCCTTACTCCCTTTCTTCCTGATTTTATTTATTTTTAGAGAGAGAGTGAAGGAAAGAGGGAAACATCAATGTGTAGTGCCCCTTACTGGGGACCTGGCCTGCAACCCAGGCATGTGCCCTGACTGGGAATGGAACCAGCGACCCTTTGGTTTGCAGGCCTGTGCTCAATCCACTGAGCCACACCAGCCAGGTCTCTTTGCCCCCCCCCCCAAATATTTTATTTATTTACTTTTAGAGAGAAGAGAAGATAAGGAGGGAGAGAGAGAAGGAGAGAAACATCGATGTGTGAGAGATACATTGATCAGGTGCCTCTTACACACCCCCAACCTGGGACCTGGCTTGCAACCCAGGCACATGCCCTGACTGGGAATCTAACCAACAGCCTTTCAGTTCCCAGGCAGTGCTCAATCCATTGAGCCACACCAACCAGGGCGGAAATGTTTTTTTTTTTTCTTCAAAGTTTTGGAAGAGATTAAGGAGGATTGATATTAATCATTCTTTTCATATTGTGGGGGTGACTTTCCTTGCAAGTCCCCCAGCTGCCACAGATGAAAGTAATCATGACTGAGACATGATGGATTGAGCACCTCTCCTCCCCAAGAAGATCATGATATGATCTTCTTGGGGAGGAGAAGTGGCTATTTTCCCAGAGGAAAAAGGTGTTGAGCTTCCTCCTATAGGGGCTTTTATTGAGTTCTAATACACAGGAATACAGGGCGGCAAGGATCAAACAGTAGATAACATTTCGAAGAAATCTGAGGGCTTACTATGAGTCAGAGTCTGTCAGGAACAGAGTTTTAGGGTTTCCTGCTTGAACCCTTAACATATGAATGAAAGCACTCTTAGCAGAGCAGATTTCACAGGTTTATCAGCAAGTCTTTGTGATGCCAGATTTTCCCCAGGACACGCTCTAGCAAGGCAAGGAGCTGCACCTCTCCCCACAGGTATTCAGGCTTAAGGGGTTAGAGCCAGGAAGTGCTTCTCCCAGAGAACATGGGGACTCGGGCTATGTCAAAGCTGGGGGGCGAGAGTCCATTGCTCTTTGTTGCAGCCCCCTTAGTCCTTCCATGAAGGCCTCCCAAGTGATTGAGTCTGGCTGAGGTTGCCCCCCACTGTGAGGGGTCTTACCTATCACTGACTTCGACCAAGCTTTGGGGGCAGGGAGAGGAACTGAGGCAGCATTTGCTACCAGGGACAGGCTTTGTCTCCTGTGGCTCGAATTCCAGAGGTCGTCCCTCACCCTTAGCCACAAGGGGTCGAGATACAATTCCTAGAACCAGAGAGAGCGGTCTACAGCAACATTTCATAGAATTTACCAGTGAATGTATCTTTTCTTTGTTGGGAGATTTTTTTGATACTGATTTAATTTTTATACTAGTCAGATACTCTGTTTCTTCCTAATTCACTGTTGATCAGTGTATGTCTTCTGGGGTATCTGATTTCGTGGCCTGTCTGATTTCATGGTAGGCTTCTGGGATCCTCTGGCTCTGTGCTCTCAGTTGTAGTTTGTCTTCTTTTATTTCTGAGTTAATTTATTTGCATCTTCCTTCCAGTCTTAAGTTAACCTAGCTAAAGATTTGTCAATTGAATTAATATATTTGGACAAAACAGCCCTTAGACTTACTGGTGTTACTGTTTTTCTACTTTTTATTTTATTTATTTTTTCTTTGATCTTTGTTCTTTGTTCTGCTCTTCTTTTATTACTTCCTTAAGATTTAAGTTTAGGTTGCTTGGAATCTTTCTGTTTTCTTAACAGTGGCATTTATAGCTCTGAATGCTCTTAGAATAACTTCTGCACATTCTATATATTTTCATTTGTCTTACATTTAAATTTTTTTTTCTTTTATTGGTGAGTATGTTTAATGTCCACATATTTGTGAATTTTTCAACTCTCTTTCTGTTACTGATTACTGGTTTTATCCATTGTTTTAGCAAAAGGTAATTGATGGATTTTAGTCTTCCAAAATTTGTTAAGCCTTTTTTTAATTGATTTTTAAATTTTTTAAATTGTTGTTCAAGTACAGTTTTCTGCCTTTTACTCTCTGTTAAGCCTTTTTTATGTAACAGATTTATTTTAGAGACGTTTCTATTTATACTTGAGAAGATTGTGTATTGTGCTGTAATAGGATGAAATGTTCTCTATATGCTGGTTAGATCTGTTTGGACCAAAGTGTGAGTCAATTCAAATATATCTTTATTAAATTCTTGTCTGGCTATCCCCTCATCCTTGAAAGAGGGATGTTGTTGAAGTTTTTTACTAATACTCTGTTGCTATTTTCCTGTATTCAGGTATGGTAGTATTTGCTTAATACTTACTTCAGATCCTTTGATGTGTGTTTGTCTCAATGACCTGTTTTGTCTCTTGTGATAGTTTTTCACATTAACTCTATTCGGTATAGTTAACCCTGCTCTCTTCAATTTTCATTTGTGTGTAACATCTTTCAATCCCTTACTCTTCAGCTGATATGTGTTCTTACTGCTGAAGTTACTCTATGGTAGGCAGGATATAGTTAGGTCTTGTTTATTTGTTTGTTTAATATTTCTTTTAGCCAGTGTCTTTTGATTGGAGAATTTTATTAGGACCTACTATTTTTTTAAAATAAAGATTTTACTTATTTATTTTCAGAGAGAAGGGAAGGGAAGCAGAAAGAGAGGCAGAGAAACATCCATGTGTGGTTGCCTCTCACGTGTCCCCTACTGGGGACCTGGTCTGCAACCCAGGCATATACCCTGACTGGGAATCAAACCGGCAACCCTTTGGTTTGCAGGCCTGCATTCAATCCACTGAGCTACACCATAGTTCATCTAGTTTATTGTTATCTGCCTGCTTGTAGTTTCTTTTTTTCTTTCTTATTTTTCTTTGTAATTGGATGATATGGTGGTATGTTTTTATTTCTTTGTCTTTGATACCTTTTTGCTTTGTGGTTGCCAGAGGCTTATCTCAAACTTCTTACCGTTAAAATGTTCTACTTTAAGCTGATAACAATTTCAATTGTATATAAAACCAATACTCTTATTACCCCCACACACATACACATTTTATGTTTTGATGTCACAATTTGATAACCATTAACAAATTTTAGTATTTTGAATTTGACTTTATATTTACCTTTAGCAGAGTATTTTGTATTTACATGTTACTAATTTGTGTACTTTTATTTCAACTTGAACAACTCACTGGAGCATTTCTTATAGGGTAGGGCAAGTAGTTTTGAAGTCCCTCAGCTTTTCACTGGAAAAGTGCCTCTTCCTCATTTCTGAAAGAGAGCTTTGCTAGTAAAGTACCTTGACTTTTAGATTTGTAGGAGAAACAGTGATTGGTTGCCTCACGTACACCTTCACTGGGGGTCTGGCCCACAAACCGGGCACTGGAATCAAACCAGCACATTTCAGTTCATAGGCCAGTGCTCAATCCACTGAGCCACATAAGCCAAGCCATTGGTTGTTTCTTGTATGTGCCCTGACCTGAGATCAAGCTCACATCATTGGCTCATGTGGACGATGCTGTAATCATCTGAGCTACAAAGCCAGGGCTCCTGTTTCCGCTTTGACACTTTGCTGACTTGTCATTTCTCCTACTTATCACTTCCATTGTGGTTTCCAGCCCCAGGGACATTTCCATCTTGGTTGATCCCACATTTTACCCACTCTCTCCTCCCTCTTTGTGTAGTACCCTTGAACATTGAGGCATAGGTGTTATGCTCTGAGTTGTTCACAAATCTATATATTGACCTTGTATACCAGCTAATATCTTGCATTTGGATAGTAATGTACTTACTTACGTGCTTCTACCCAGCCTGATGTCAGCAGCAGAGAGGGATATGCAGGAAGCTGTTGGCAGAGGAAATGCATTGTAAGCCCCGCCTTTCCTCCATGTGTCATGCCCTGTCCGAGTATCCTTCCCCTGGAGGAGTTCCCATTATATTGTCACTTAAAAGCCCAGTAACATAAAACAGTGAGCCAGTTCTTCAACTGAATGTGCTTGTTTTGAAAAGGATTTTATTTATTCATGCCGACACGTAACATGAGAATATGTGTCGTGGGGTTCTCTCCTGTAATCATCGAGTACTTCTCCAGCATTTATTTATTTATTTTTGTTCAGGTTGCTGCTGTGGAGCAGAGGGTGTGGAGGCACCCACTGAACTGACCGTTTGTGTACGAGCATCACAGGCAAGGAATGCCAGAGCAGCTTCGTCTGCACAGAAGAGCCACCCCTGTGAGAGCTGTGGACCAGTCCTGAGAGACATTTTCAGCTTGTTTGAGCAACACGGAACACAGCAGAGCCCCCCACTGCTGAGGTGTGGGGCATGTTCAAAGCGGTTTCATTTCAGTGCAAAGTGTCACCAGTACCGGGAGCAGCATACGAGACAGAAACCCTTCAGAAGTAGTGTGGACAGGGCCTCATTTGTGAAGAGCTGCAGAATCCATGTGTCAGGGAAGCCCTTTACCTGCGGCGAGGTTGAGAAGGACATCCTGGCCAGCTCAGGACATCAGCAGCAACAGGACACTCATGAAGCTCAGGAGCCAAACACAGGCACCCAGCGGGAAGCAACATTACAAGACAGAAAAAGTCAGTACCCCTCAGAGGAAGGCAAGAAAGCCTTTAACCCCCAACACACACTTATTCAGGACCAGGCTGTTCATACTGGAAGACAGAGTTTTGTGTGCAGTGAATGTGGAAAAACATTCAGGTACAAATCCTCATTTGTCATGCACTGCAGAGGCCACACTAGGAAGAGTTTCCGTGTGTGTGGTGAAAGTGGAAAATCGTTTAGTGAAGCCTCGGCCCTCCATGAGCATCAAAAAATTGATACTGGAGCAAGTCAGTACAAGTGCAGCAAATGTGGAAAATCCTTAAGCCTCAAATCTGTCCTCATTCATCCCAAGGGACAGCAAAATGCAGAAAACAATTACATGTGTAGTGAATGTACTCAGTCATTTAGTCATAACTCAGTGTTTAATCAGTCTCAGAAAGTTCACACTGGAGAAGAACCTTATGAATGCAGTGAATGTGGAAAATCTTTTAACATTAGGTGGAAACTGGTTCGACACCAGAAATCTCACAGACAAGAAAGACCTTATGGGTGTAGCGAGTGTGGGAAATCTTTTAATGATAGGGGGAAACTTGTTCGACATCAGAGAATTCACACAGGAGAAAGGCCACATATGTGCAATATGTGTGGGAAATCTTTCTATCGTCGCTGCAACCTTAAGTATCATGAGCGAAGCCACCTAGGAGAAAAGCCTTACAAGTGTGAATGTGGGAAAGCTTTTACCACTGGCTCGGCCCTCTATTATCATCGGAGAGTTCACACAGGAGAGAGGCCTTATGAGTGCACTGAATGTGGGAAGTCTTTTACCTGGATAAATGCCCTTCAGTGTCATCAGAGAGTTCACACGGGAGAAAGACCTTATGTGTGCGGTGAATGCGGGAAATCTTTTACCAGGATTTATCACTTTCGTTGTCATCAAAGACTTCACACTGGAGAAAGGCCTTATGAGTGCAGTGAATGTGGGAAGTCTTTTGCCTGGATCAAAAGCCTGCATTATCATCAGAGAGTTCACAAAGGAAAAAAGCCTAATGAGTGCAGTGAATGTGGGAAATCTACCTGGAACAAAAGCTTTTGTTATCATCAGAAAGTTGATACAAGAGAAAGGCCTTACAAGTGCAGTGAGTGTGGGAAATCTTTTACCCAGAACAGTAGCCTTCGCTCCCATCAAAAAATTCACACAGGGAAACGGCCTTACAAATGCAGTGATTGTGGGAAGTCTTTTACCTTCCGCCAATACCTTTGTATTCATCAGAGAATACACACAGGAGAAAGGCCTTATGAGTGCAGTGAATGTGGGAAATCTTTTGCCTGTCGCAACTCTCTCACTTATCATCAGAGAGTTCATACAGGAGCAAAGCCTTACAAATGCAGCCAGTGTGGAAAATGTTTTGCCTGTAGTTCCTCTCTCCGTTGCCATGAGAGAGTTCACACAGGAGAAAGGCCTTATAAGTGCAGTGAATGCGAGAAATCTTTTACCAGTAGCTCTGCCCTCCGTTATCATCAGCGAGGCCACACAGGAGAAAAGCCTTATAAGTGCAGTGAATGTGGGAAGTCATTTAGGGATAGTTCCCAATTCATTGTACACTGGAGATATCACACTGGGGAAAGGCCTTATGAGTGCAGTAAATGTAAGAAATTTTTTGTCAGTAGGTCTAAACTTCATTATCATCAGAGAGTTCACACTGGAGAAAAGCCATATCAGTGCAGTGAATGTGGGAAATCTTTCACCTATCATTTCAGACTTCAAAATCATCTGAGAATTCACACTAGAGAAAAGCCTTAAGTGTGCAATTTTCTGTTCATGTAAACAACACAGAGGAAATTCTGTGAAGAGACATTCGTCTGAATTGAAACTTTTACGTATATTCGCAGAGTGTGGAAATTTTCTCTCATTTTCAGTTAGATGGGAAGTGTTTGTAAATATGTCACACTTTCTGACTTGCTCGAGGCTCCTTCTAGGTTGATCGTGTAGCTGCATTCTGTGGCTGTAGTTCTTTCACCTTTACCACAGGGCAGGTGCACAGAGTTTGCATCATTCAACACCTTAATGTGCTCAGGAAGCTGAACTCTGGTCTCACGAGTGTTGTAGCAAAATAGAAATGACTGGAGCCCTCAGGAAGTCATCTTTCTCTTTACTAATAATTTAGGTATGGACTGGGTCCTCTGTTGACCCAGAGAATGTCATGAGTTCGGCACTCAGGCTTGCATAGAAATGTCTACCTATTCCAGAGATGTGTTCATCTCAGATGATGTTTTGATGAGATCTTCCAGCTTATGAACTTGGTACATGCCTTCTTCACATTGTTTTGGCTTGCACAATAATTCAGGACTTATTTTTATTTTTTAGGATCTTATTTACTTGATTTTCAAGAAAGGGAAAGAGAGGGAGAGAGTATTAATGTGAGAGAGAAACATTGATCAGTTGCCTCTTGCACACACCTGAATGGAGGGACTGAACCGCAACTTAGGCATGTGCCCTGACTGGGAATAGAACCTACCACCCTTTGCATTATGGGACAACACCTAACCAACTGAGCTACACTGGTCATGACCAGGCCTTAATGTTGAAGTTTTATTTAAATTTTGGATATTCCTTTTACGGGGTAGTTTATAAACTGATTCAGGCTCTGAAACTATGAAGAGGTGAACAATTTTTTTAGGGTCTCAAATTTTCTCTGGTTGTAAGTTTTTTTTTTCCCTTACCCACAGCAGATACCAGAGATTCTACCAGCACTGTGGAGGGTATATCTTTTTCTCAGGTCTACAGAAAGTCATGTGCCCTGACGTCCACAACTCATTGGGCTATAGTAGGGTCAGCGGTTGAAAGAAAAGCTGGGTCCGTGGAAAACCAGAGTTAGTGCCGAAACGGTGGCCTATTAGGGATTGGAGGAGACTGCAGCCAGCTAGATGGAATGTGCCTCTTCTAAACATGCACCCAGAATTGTTTCTGTGATCCGGACTGCATGAGTGTCCACAGATCTGAGGAACGCCAGGCATCATTATCTTCTGTAGATATATTGCTTTTTCTCACAGTGATATCTTGCTGACATCACCATGAGAAAAAAAAACAAAAGATTTTGTGGATTCCCATAGCTACTCAATGAAGTCTGCCTCAAAGTTATTACTACGCAACAGGAAAGGAGAAGAGCTGGGTGGAGGGACCTGTACTCAAGGGTTATTATTCTCGATACAGCATTCTTGTGGACCGAGGTGCAGATATTCATTACTCACCATATTTGATGCCATCGAGGTAATACTGAGCCCTAGAGGGCCTGAGGAAAGAGATGGTGCAGTCAATGTAGAGTGGTCAAGCCTATTTTCCAAAACAATTGTAATACAAATTTTGTTGTAATCTTGAGTCATTTTTAAAATTTCACTACCAACTTACATGCACTCCCTGCATATATATAAAGTATACAATTTGAGCCCTGGCTGGTGTAGCTCAGTGGATTGAGCGCTGGCGTGCGAACCAGACAATCGCGTTTCGATTCCCAGTCAGGGCACATGCCTGGGCTGCAGGCCAGTTCCCAGCAGGGGACACATGAAAGGCAACCATACATTGATGTTTCTCTCCCTCTCTCCTTCCCTTCCCCTCTAAAGATAAATAAGTAAAATCTTATTTTAAAAAAATAAAGTATACAATTTGATAAGTTTTGATGCAGGTATGAACTCATGAAACCATCATCATAGTCCTGATAGTGACCACATCTGTCTTTCATTGCTCACCAGCTGCCACTGAGACTGGGCAGACATTGCTCGGACCCAAGAGCTTGTGGTGTCAATGTAGAGTTTTATAGTATATTTTCTGAAAAGAGTGGGAAGCTTAGGTGTTTATTTTGAATTGTTTTTAACAGGAAGGAATAAGTGACATGCAATAAAACATGAAAGTTTACATTTTTGTTAAGTATTTCCATGTATAACATACCTGTGAACAGGTCATACCCATGACAATGACCATCTGTCACTCGCATGTGCCTTTGTGTTTTCTCTGTAATCCCTTTGTGTGATCCCTTTGTGTAATCTTTGTGTGATTTCTCTGTAATCCCTCTGCGTAGCCTTTTCTAACATCACAGCAACCATCGATTTTTTTATAGGTTAGATTGAGTTTTCTAGACTTTCATGTGGTTGTGATTAAAAAGTGTTTATTCTTGGGACTTCCGCCAAGATGAAGGCATAGGTGGATACGCCGTGCTTTCTCACACAACCAAGTTTAGAGACAACTAAATATTAGCAACAGAAAACACAGCCAAGAACACAGAAAATGGAACTTTTCAGAAGTCTGTTAACAAATTCTTCAGCCTAACCGGTAAGGGGTGAAACCAGCAGCTGGTGGAGCGGGGTAGCACAGGAAAACTCGGCCAGATGGACTCAGGTGCGCGGAATCCAGGCGCAGGGTTGGACCTGGTGGGCAACTCAGTGAGCTACCGTGGGGAAACAGTGAGGGAGCAGGGCTGTGGGTTGACTGGGGTCGCAAATTCGTGTGTGCATAGACAAGCGAGGGAGTGGGTGATTGGACGGGAGCCTGCAGCCCCAGCAGCAAGCTGCGGCAGAGGGAGCTGACATTTCCCTGCTCTGACACCGCCTCCACATACAGCGTCACAACCCAGCGACCTGGGAGTCCAAGGCTCCGCTCCTCATACTTAACGGGAGCAAACATACCAAATATGGCTCAAGAAGATCTCAAAGCCCCAGAGCCTATAAATCTAAGCAATGAAGAAATAGCAAAACTCTCAGACGCACAGTTTAAAACACTGGTGATGGGGACTTCCACCAAGATGGAGGCATAGGTGGATTTGCTGTGCCTTCTCACACAACCAAGTTTAGAGACAACTAAATATTAGCAACAGAAAACACAGCCAGAACACAGAATATTGAACTTTTCGGAATTCTGTTAACAAATTCTTCAGCCTGACCGGTAAGGGGCGAAACCCAGCAGGTGGCAGAGCAGGGTAGCACAGGAAAACTTGGTCAGACGAACTCAGGTGTGCGGAATCCAGGCCCAGGGTGGAACCTAGTAAGCGACCGAGCGACCAAGCGAGCAACCGCGGGGAAACAGCGAGGGAGCAGGGCTGCGGGTTGACTGTGGTTGCGCATTTGTGTGCGGATAGACAAGCGAGGGAGTGGGCAATTGGACCAGGACCCAGCAGGTCCCTGCAGCAAGCAGCAGGGAGGGCGCCACCATTTCCTTGCTCTGACCCCACCTCCACATACAGCGTCATAACCCAGCGACTCTGAGTGGCCCGGCCCTGCTGAACCACCTAAGGCTCTGCTCCTCACCCAGTGGCACTAAACAGCAGAGGGGGCCGCCATTTACCTGCTCTGACCACGCCCCCACATACAGCATCACAATCCAGCGACCGGGGAGTCCAAGGCTCCGCTCCTCGTACTTAATGGGCTCAAACAGACCAAAAATGGCACAAGAAGATCTCAAAGCCCCAGAGCCTATAAATCTAAGTGATGAAGAAATAGCACAACTCTCAGACGCACAGTTTAAAACACTGGTCATCAGGATCCTCACAGAACTGGTTGATTATAGCCACAAATTAGACAAATATATGAAGGCGAAACTAATTGAAATGAATGGCATTGCATAGGAAACCAATAGCGATGGAAAGGAAACTGGGACTCAAATCAATGGAGTGGACCAGAAGAAAGCAAATAATGGCCAAACAGAAAAGAGTCAAGAAGCAAGAATTCAAAGAAATGAGGAGAGTCTTAGGAACCTCCAGGACATCTTTAAATGCTCCAACATCCGAATTATAGGGGTACCAGAAGGGGCGAAGGCACAGCCACCAGTGGAAAACTTATTTGAACAAATAATAAAGGAGAATTTCTTCAGTCTGGCAAAGGCAATAGACTTCCAGGAAATCCAGGAAGCTCAGAGAGTCCCAAAGAAGTTGGACCCAAGAAGGAACACACCAAGGCACATCATCATTACATTAGCCAAAATTAAAATGAAGGAGAGAATCCTAGAAGCAGCAAGAGCTAAGGGGACAGTCACCTACAAAGGAGTCCCCATCAGACTGTCACCTGATTTCTCAGAAGAGACCTTACAGGCAAGAAGGGGCTGGAAAGAGGTATTCCAAGTCATGAAATTCAAAGACCTACAACCAAGATTGCTCTATCCAGCAAAACTTTCACTTAGAATGGCAGGACAGATAAAGTGCTTCTCAGATAAGATCAAATTCAAAGAGTTTATCATCACCAAGCCCTTATTATATGAAATGTTAAAGGGACTTATCTATGAAAAAGAAGTTAAAGAAACATGAACAGTGAAAGGACAGCAAACTCACAGTTATTAACAACCACACCTAAAACAAAAGCAAACTAAGAGGACAGCTAGATCAGGAGTGGAAACATAGAAATGAAGGTCTCAAGGAGGGTTAGCAACAGGGGAGTGGGAGGAGGAGAAGGGGGGAGAAGGTACAGAAAATAAGTAGCATAGACAGTAGATAGAAAATAGATGGGGGGGGCAAGAATAGTATGGGAAATACAGAATCTAAAGAACTTGAGACACATGATCATAAACTAAAGGGGGGGTAATGGGGGGAATAGAACAACTGTAATGACATAATCAAAAAAAAGTTTTATTCTTTCTCCATTCTCATGCCTGTTTTTTGAGGCACTGTTGTTTGTGAGTATTATTTTGTTTTCTGGCTATGTACCACTATCTGTTTGGGGCAATTGCCAATAAAGCTGATCTGGACTCTTTTTTTTTTTTCTTTACAATTAAAAATGTTTATTGACTTTAGAGAAAAAAACATCTCTTGATTGCCTCTTGCATGCACCGTGCCTGGGGCTTGAACTGGCACATTCCTGCCAGTAATTCATATGGTCGATCTTTAATGTTAGCCCTTTTAGTTACTGAGTAGTGCTATCTTGGTGTGGTTTTGATCACACTTGCCTAGGGATTAGTGGTTTTGAGCTTTTTTTTTCTTTAAATCCTCACCCAAGTTTATGTTTATTGATTTTAGAGAGACCAGAAAGGAGACAGAGAGAAACATCAATTGCTTGCCTCGCTTATATGCCCCAACCTGGGATCAAACCCACAACCTAGGTATGTGCCCAGAATGGGAATCCAGCATGCACTTTTTGTTGTACAGGATGATGCTCTAGTTAACTGAGCTCTTTTTCATGTGTTTAGTTGCCACCTGTATATCTTCTTCAGTACAATTTCTCTTTGTATCATTGGCTTTTTTTCCTTTGTAAGTTATATTTCCCTTATTTACAAAGAAGGTCTCAAAACAACAAACACATGTTAAAAGTTTAATGAAATCTTATAGAGCATCATTATTATTTTTCTGTTTGGTTCATTGTTTTTTGTTTGTTTTTAATTTTCAGTTGGGGGAAGAGAGGGAGAGAAACTTCTTTCAGTTGCCTCTCATGCCCCTAACTGGGGACCTGGCTTGCAACCCAGGCATGTGCCCTGACCAGGAATAGAACTAGTGACCTTTCAGTTTGCAGGCTAGCACTCAATTCACTCAGCCACACCACCCATGGCTTGGTTCATTGTTTTCAAATTTTCTTATTTTTCCCAAACTTTTTGTGCCGTGTCCAATGTCATGGCCATAAACACCATACATGCTTAGATTTTAGCCTGCATAGTTACAATTTTCATCACAGAAGTCCAGGCTTCTTCTAATACAATAGACCTGACCCTCTTTTTAGTGTTTGCCCAAAGCATAAGTTCTCACACTAGGAAAGCAATGTGTGCAGAAGAAGAGGAAAGATTCTGTGTTCTGTGGTGTTAGCTCAAAAGCTAAACTAAGTGCCTACAGGAGGAGACTTTGAAATCCCCAGGCAGAGGACAGGTGGGGTTGTCAGCTGGCTGGAGGGGCAGAGGCTCCATGGTCTGGAGACGAGTCCAGAGGACCAGGATGGAGAGAGCTGTTTGAACACCTGGGGTCATGGGGACTCCCAGAGGCCTCACCTAAGTATCAGGGCACACACTTTGTTTTGAGTCCCTGCCTCCAGCCCCACCCGTACCTTTTAAGGAGTTTTCATCTGAAAACTCCAAGTGCTTTTTATCTTTTTCTCTCTGTAATTATTGGTCTCCAGATATTTACCTCCCGTGCATTTTATCACCACTCGGGGGCACTTTTCCAGATCCCCTGGTCTCAGGAAGATATACTGGGCATGGGTCATTGCTGGTCTCTCCTGCCCCCAGTGGGGCCTCTGAGGAAGATAGGCCTTGGAGCAGCCAGAGAGAATTCTCTGGGCACCTGGTGTAGAAGACCCACTGTGCCTATGATGTGAGTGCCCAGAGGGGACACCTAGAGGGAGTCACACCCTGCAGATCTGATTTGGAAGGGACCTTCCTGGACAAGGTCCCCTTTCTCCCTCTGGAGGCTGATCTCCCACTGCTCATTTCTGAGGCAATGGCATCGGGATGTGCAAAAGTCAGACTCCAAACCCTCAGCAATTCAGTTTCCAAAAGGTTAGGGCAGAAAACGTCACTGCAGATTGATGAACTAAAGTGACGTCTTATTGTCCTAAAAAAAAAAACCATATAGAAATGTACATGAATCCCGCACATATGCAACAGTCTATGCATGTGCACAAAGCTAGATAAACACTAGCAAACATTGTTTTTCTCCAAGATGTACAATGGTTAAAGGTGCTTTTCATATTCCATGTTTATAAAGAAGTAGTAATCCACTAATAAACAGTAACAATGTGGCCATCCTATACTTTAACTTTTTTCTCGTTCACAACATGCCCGGGGTTGGGGGGTGGGCTGGGATGGGGTTGAGGGCAGAAAACTACTTGACTGACAATTAAAAAAATAAAAATAAACCATGCCCTGCTAAACTAGCAACCTCAGCTGTGAAATTTTGCAGCTGTATAGGGGACTCCGGTTAATCACACGAATCTCTGGTGCCCTGTTCACAG